ACTTGTTGATTGTTTGTGCTAGTTCATGGGCAACTGAGGTTTTGTTCATAAAATCCTTTCCTACACCAATGTCTTCAGGAGTTCTCCCTAACCTCTGTTCCAGCCGATTCAGTGTTTCTGTTTTAATATTTAGATCTTTAATCCATTTCAATTTTAGTTAGTGCATGGTGAGAGATATAGGTCTAGTTTTAATCTGTGGCAAGTTGAAACCCAATTTTTCCAGCGCCATTTATTAAAGAGGCTATCTTTCCTCCAGTGAGGGTGTTTGGCTCCTTTGTCGAAGATGAGGTGTCTGTGTCTGGAGTTGTCAATGGAGTTTTTAATGTCCTGGAAATCTGTTTGCACCTGTTTTATGGATTCCATTTGTTTCCTATGTTGGGATTCCATCATGTTCCTCAGCTCCTCTATTTTTTTTTAATCTGTGTCCTCTCTAGATTTATTAATTATGTCTTGCATTACGGGCACAATCTCTGCTGTTATCTGAGAAATTATATCTGATTTCATTTTTTCCAGGTCCTCTTTTGTTGCCAGTTCAGGGAGTCCAGGTGTTTGAGTATCAGAGTTCCATCTCTGTTTCCCTTTGTGGTTGCTTTAGGTGATCTGGAAGTCTGGTTTTGAGATTTGTTTACATGTCTTCTCATTTCAATGGGGATGTGTGTGTGTGTGTGTGTGTGTGTGTGCGCGCTCCTGGTGCCCTGGCTCACCTCCTCAGTGCTGAGGGCAGTGGTATGGCACCTTGGAAGGCTCTCAAACTGAATATTTTGCCACCAAAGCTCATTGATCTTTCTGCTACAAATGATGTTAAAGAAAATCTTTCTCCTCCTAGTTGCTTGTCCTGCAGCCAGCTGGGCCAGCCATGGCTTCAGCCGTTGGTCCTGGGTACGTACCTTTCACCTCTGCTCCACTGTTCTGCCAGTCATTTCCACAGCCTCTTCTCAATATTATCTCCTTCCAGAGTTCTTGTCACTCTGTCTCATTATCTTCATTCTTTTCTTCACAGCATTTATATGCTATCTAAAAATCATCTCTTTTGTTTACATGCTTACTGTGTGCCTTTCTTTCTGTAGAAGGTAAGCACTGTTAGGCAAGAGACATTGTTCCACTTGGCCATACTATCTCTAGCCTAGAACACTGGCAAGGCACTCAGCAATTTTTTACATCTTAATGCTCCCAGGCAAACTCATATTTTATATCCTGTTTTGGAATATAACACCTTCTTTGATTCTTCTTCAAGAATTGCAAGCAATAGATATTCTTTCCCCTGATTTATTTTTCTCTATCAAACTTCGTGTTTTCCCTCATTCAATATGTTTTTTTATTATTTTATCGCCTTTTTCTCCTTTAATAGGATGCCTGTCCCATGAGGGCAGGGAATTTTTTGTTTTGCTTTTCTTTTTTTTCTCTCCTTTTAAAAAATCTAATTTCCAACAGCACCTTGAATAGTATAGAACACTTGGCATAGAGCAGATGTTCAGTAATGAGTTTTCCATAGCCAAGGAATGTGATCTCCAACATGCCACCTCTTTATTTGCTTAGGCATAGACTAGTTCAAGCATTTATACAACCATCTCTAGACTTTGCGGCCTGTCCTCCATTTCTTCTCTTCCTATTAAAACTAACCTACTGCTACCCTCACTTTAGAACTCCTAGATATTCATATTTTGTATTTTGAGCTAAGTTGCTAGTATTTTAATAGTTAGCGCTTAGTAGTTTTCCTTGTGATCCTTAGTTTCTGACATCATAGTTCCTGTCTCTCCAGTATTCTAGTGATAAAGTTTTTGACAAATGCATATATTGCTAGAACTCATGTCTTTTGTTAATCAAGTTACTGGTAAATAGTTTCCCGGTGTGGGCCCAGAATGGTGAGCATTAAGAATAGGTAGTGCATATCTGTACTGCCAATCTCAGCACTCTGGGAGGCTGAGGCAAGAGGATTACAAATTCAGGCCTGTCCTGGGCAATTTAGTGAAACCCTGCTTCAAAACTTTAAAAAATTTGCCAGGGATTTAGCTCAGTGGCTCTGCACCTGCCCTGCAAGCACAAGGTCCTGAGTTTGATCCCCGGTACCAAAAACATTTTTAAAAAAAATTTAAACAAGGACTGGGAGTGTAGCTCAGTGTGAAGGGTCTGGGTTCCTTTCCAAGTACCAAAAAAAAAAAGTGGGGAATGGTGGAAGTATGGGCCTTCCATATAGTTCATTAACCTGTTTTCAAATTGTTGCTGTTTTACAAGGTATCATTAACCATCAGCAAATTACCTAATCTCTCTAATCCTAAACTACTTGTTAAATACAGTGGACCCTTGATTTATGAACTTAATTCATTCCTGAATGCTGGTTGTAACTCAAGTTGGTCAATTGAAGGATCAGATTCCTCTACACAGCCTTCAAAGTCACTCTCCTGTATACGGGCAGATCTCAGTGTCCTTAGAGGGACATTGGCCCAGGATCTCTCAATTAAGCCCACACAGGAAAGGATTTTGTAATGTTCCTTCCAGAACTCTTTAAAGGTTAAATCTGTATCTGAGACCATCTGGAAGCACAAGCAGCCAGCATTTGGGTCATAACTCAAAACTTTGATTGTAAGTTAAAACTAAAATTCCAGTCGTAACCCAAATTGTGCATATGTCAGGCTCCACTTGGAGCTGTTGGGAAGATTAAGTGATATTCTATATGTAAAATGCTCTGTCTAATGTTAATTATTGCTACAGTAGTACTTCAGTTCAGGAACTTAATTCATTCAATGATTTTGGAAGAGATGGCTACATTTGTGTTCATGTGGGAAAGATGGCCATGTAAGTCACAAGAAATTAGTGGTGTTAGCAGTCAAGACACTTCTCCTTTTCCAGGAAGGATCTATTTTCTACCACTCTTGAGAATGTGGTGTAATTGGATTAATTACTCAAAAAGTTCTTGCTAAATGATGGCAGGGTGGCAATTAGTTCATGTTCAGCAGAATGATGATTTGGAAACTTCTCTTTGAGCATGCTTAATGAAACAAGCCCTTCCCCTTTCATGATTGACTTATGGCTTTGTGGCCCCATTCCACACCCCTCACAATCTTCCCACTCTGCAGCACACTTGGCAATTTAGACCTAGCTCCTCCTGCTCCTCGGAGCTTGCAGGTTGGTGAGGAGAAGGAGTATGGAAGCAGGCCTCACTTTAGGTCAGGATTTGCTGGCAAGTCATTAGGAAAGGGCCTCCAGGGAGATCAGAAAAGGAAGTGAAGGAAGCAGGCCAGGCAAGGGCAGGAGGCTTAGACAAAGGTGATATCTTGTCCTGGGATTACTGTAACAAAGTACCATAAACCGGTGGTTTAAAGTAACAGAAATATATTGTTTCATAGTTCTGGTAGTTACAAGTCTAAAATTAAGTTGTTCATTGGGCCATAATCCCTTTAAAGGCTCTAATGTCTTCCTTTCTTCTTCCTGCTTCTAGAGTCTTCAGGTATTCCCTGGCTTTTGACAGCTCCAGTAACTCTAATTTCTGCCTTAGTCTTCATGTTGCCAGCTGCCTGTCTGTCTGTTTGTGTCCAAATTCCCTTTTTCTTATGAGACACACATCATATTGAGTTAAGGGCCCAGAATCATACTTTTATCTGCAATGGCCCTATTTCTAAATAAGGTCATATTCTGTAGGACTAGGATTTTGGAGGGGTGGGATACAACTCATCCTATAAAATACAGTCTGAGATAAAAATATTGGGAAAGGTGGATCCTGTTAGATCCTGCAGGGAGATTATGGAGTGTAAATTACATTTCAGAGTTATCCCAACCGAGTGAAGTAAGAAGGACCCTGAGAGGGTCTAAAAGTCAAGGTAAGGATTCTAATGCTCCAGCAATGATCTTTGGCCTGGACTAACTAAAGATGTTTCAGGCTGTAAGCCCAAGAAAGCAGGAGGGAGAAAGCAGAAGCTCTGCAAATGAGGTGGAATTGATATCCAGGCTCTGTGCTCCTTGCCCTGCCTACTGCAGCTTCATGTATTCTTCATGCCTCAGTTGCCCTGTCTCAGAACTGCCTTTTCAGGTTGACAAACTACATGACCTTGCTTCTAGGACTAGCAGCTAGAGTGTCTCATACAGGCTCACTTTGGGAAACTGACCCACAAATTGTACCTTACAAGGACAAGACTCCTAAATACTAGGACTAGGGGGTGAAACTAAGTGGTAAAGTCATCCTTAGCATGTGCGAGGCCTTAGGTTTGATCCCTAGCACTAAAAAAAAAAAAAAAAAAAAAAAAAAATTAAAAGGCACTTAATCATCAAAACTATTGAGTAAAAAAAAAAAACAAAACAACAGGGATATAGTAAGAGGAGTGGAAACAGCACTGTCAGGGGAGATCCTGAGCTTGGACTTCTCTTTCACAACTCCAGCACTGAATGAGTGCCAGTGTGGTTGGTTCATTTGGGGTGAGTTGGGTAGCTGTGAAGCAATCGTGTTCTCTCCTTTCAGCATTTCAGTGTATCAAGGCTATGCAGGCCTGCCTTGTTCAAGACCAGCTGGTGGTGGAGTGGCAATGTTCCTGTCTGGAGGTAGAAACATGGATGGTTGAATGGTTCCCAGATTTGGACTCAGAGCTCTCTGCCTTTTCCTGGGAATCTGTGTCTCAGGCTAAGAACTGGACAATCCATCAAGGTAGCTAGCATGGAATTGCATATTTCCCTCTTGAAAGATTTGGTTTCATTTTAATTAGTGTTTAAAATCCTTAGCTTTAGTTTCAAAGCTGTAAATGTGTTTAATAGCATTTGACAAGATTGTGTAAACTCAGTAAAGTTCATGCTTCTTGGAATTTCCCAGGAAAAGCTGGCACAGAAAGCTGTGGGTTTCAGGCCAGGTAGAAAACACCATTTTCTAACCCACCATTAGAGAGCCCTTCTAAGATATCTTGATTATCCTAGTAATAACACCAGAGTATAGAGCCCAGGAGTCCTGCTGAGGATACTACCTTCCATTTTGGATGTCTGTTTAAGAGCCGAGCCCCTTTCCGAGGTGACTGATACAGGGAATATAATGGCATCCATATTAAGAAATATACTTAAAAATATATATATATTTATACAGGGATGCAGGCAGGTAGCAGAGCTATAGTTTGTGGTATCTGAGTTCTCCAGGGTGATGTGCTTTACCAGAAGGATTATGTTTTATCCTGCAGTGCCCAAAAGTCATAAAGTCAGTGATGGAGGAGGGTTTGGCTCTCCTTCTGATCCCTTCATGGATGGCTCTGTAATTTTATTGAAGTGCCACAGACTTTAGTTCTAAGAATTAATTAGAAAAATCTTAGAATAAGAATAGAGATTTGAGACCATCCAACCCAACATTCTTATTTTTCAGATGAGGAAACTAGAAAAACAGAATATTTTCCATAAGTCTTAGACCATAACTTGGGCCCCAGCATTTCTTCCACTCTGACATGCTCTGCACTTATGCTAATTTTTCCTTTTTTTTTTTTTTACAGATAAATTAAAACCCTTTTTGTGCTATAACATTTCTGTGTATCCAGTGTTACAAGACCGAGTAGGAGAGCCATATTCCATCCAGGCCTATAGCAAAGAAAGTAGTATGTATGAACAAGGCTCTTAGGGGGAAAACAAACACTGGGCCCTTTCCAACATATAGATAAAGCTGAGAGCCTGTAGCTCATTCACACTTGCTCTAGGCCCCATTTGTCCTGCACTTGCATCTTGTAATGAAGCAAGCATCTTGTCTGAAGCTCTGTATGTTCGACAGTTGGGGTCAGTTTATAGAGTCATTGAATTTCAAAGCTAAGTTGGACATTAAATATTAAATCAAATCCTCTCATTTCATAGATGGAAAGTTGAGGCTGAGAAAGATAAAATAACTTGCCCAAATCCCCAAAGAAACTTAGTATAAATAGAGCTACAACCAGAAATAACATTTAATTAGGACCAACTCAGGGCTTCTACAGAGTTCATCATAAGTTGAACATGTTAAAAATTATTTTAAATTACGTAACAATAAGCAAGGGCTTTTCTGATGAATTGCCCAGACTTTATTTTTATCTATTTGGAAGTTAGCATCTTCCATATTTAACACTGAAAATTATCTCCTACTGTGAAAATGTAGCCTCTAACTGTTTGGCAATAGCTACCCTTTACTTATGTGTATGAAAGAGCTGGGTGCCAGACTTGAGTGAGAGATCTGTAAGAAAGTATTTTTTCTCTAGCCTTTGATATTACTTGTTTATTAAGATGCATGATTGCAGAAAAATATCTCTTGTAACAAATTAATAATTTCCCTACTCAACCCCATATCTTACTTCCACATTGTACTTTTTGTCTGAGAACTGGCAGGGTTTTTGTGAGGAAACATCTGCTGGGCTGTGATTCATTGTTAATCATTTATCTTCCTGTCCTCTCAAGTCCCATTACGAGGTCCCGAAACCAAGGTGGAAAACATTGGTGTGAAGACAGTCACCATCTCATGGAAAGAGATTCCCAAGAAACTGAGAAATGGTTTCATCAGCAACTACACCATATTTTACCAAGCTGAAGGTGGAAAAGAATTCTGTAAGTGTGCTCATAGCCAAGTTGAAAAAAAAAATCCAAACCCCCAGATGGATGATATAGATAGATTTGTCATGAGGTGGTTCCCATGGTGGTGACCTGCAAACTTGGATAAATTACTAGCTTCTTTGAGTCCTTCTGAATATGGGTTCAATAGCACCATCTCTTGGATTTGGGGGTATTAAGTGAAAGTGAAGTGACAGTACCTAAAAATACTGTAGAAATGGGGGAAATTGGTATAATTTGTCCTGGTCAGGACCTGAATGAGTCAACCCCCCAGGTACTGTCTGACTATTATTATTATTATTATTATTATTATTATTATTATTATTATTATTATTTTGGTACCGGGGATCAAACTCGGGACCTTGTGTTTGCAAGGCAGGCGCTGGAACCACTGAACTACATCCCCGGCCCTGACCATTATTCTTGAGAGAAGTATGCCTGGCTTAAACAGTGGCGTTGGGGTGGAGAAAGACCCTGTTTGATGACATTTACCTTAGCGCAGTGCTCTTTACCGTGATTTCTACTGTCCACTCCCAGGACATTCTTTTTCCTTGAGCTCATCCTAAATTCTGAGCAATGCTTGGTTTCCTGTTTAGACTAAATTTTGTCTTTCTTGAGTAAAACGTTAATAACAAAATTTACTATCTGAGATATTTGAAAATGTGTAATTGAACGGCATTAAGAATATTCACAATGGTGCATAACCCTCTCAACTATCTTGAACTTTTCGATTCCCACCCTAAATAGAAGCTCTGTAAACTTTATTCAGTCACTCTGCATTCTTCTCTTCCTACAGCCCCTCACAGCCACCAAACTGCTGTGTCCTTGTGGATTGCCTACTCAGGATATTTTATGTAAATATAATCAGGACTGGGGGTAGCTCAGTGGTACAGTGTTTGCCTACCATTGTGAGGTCTTGGGTTCATTCCCTAGAATTGCAAAATAAACGTAAATAGATAAATAAGCATAAATAAATAAATAAAATCATATATGTGGCTTTTGAAGTTCATCTATGTTACAATAAGAATTAGTACTTAATTCCTTTTTATGGCTGAATAGTCCATGTATGCTTTTCCATATGTTGTTCATTCAGTCATCATTTGACAAACCTTTGAACTGTTTTTCAACATTATAGCTCCTATGAATATTGCTTCTATGAACATTGAAGTACAAATATCTGAGTTCCTGATTTCAATTCTTTAGGAGTTTGTACCTAGGAGTGAAAATGGTGGATCATCTTAATATTTCTACTTTAACTTATTGAGACACCACCAAAATGTTTTCCACAATGATTGCCCAATTTTCAGCTCAATGTAAGAGGAGTCCCTTTGTCTGCATCTTTTCCAGGACTCATTTTTTATCTAAAAAGAAACTGTAATTTGTTATCCTGTGGACACAAAGTGGTATCTCACTGATTTACATTTCCCTAACCACTAATAATGTTGAGCATCTGTTCATGTGAGTTTTGGCTATTTGTATATCTTCTTTGGAGGAATGTCTTTTTAATCTCTTTACCCATTTTAAAATTAGGGTTTTTTGGTTGAATTATGATTTTTTTATATATTGTGGACATAAACTCCTTATCAAATGTATGATTTGCAAATATTTTTTCCAATTTTGTGACTTGTCTTCACTTTCTTGATACTGTGTTTTGATGAACAGAAGTTTTTAATTCTAATAAAGTTCAGCTTATCTATATTTTCTTACATTGCTAATGCTTTTGGTACCAAGTTTATGAAATTTAAGGTCATGAAGATTTACTTTATATTGATTTCTAAAAGATTTTATAGTTTTAGCTCTTATATTTAGGTCTTTGATTCACCTTGACATACTAATTTTAAACAGTTCATGGATGAGGGTTGAAGAAAGAGGTGGCCAGTTGGAAATACAGATTTCAGTGCTTTCGTTTTGGTGCTACTGAAGTGCAGTTTTCAGTCTGGCTTGGCTGTGGTATTTGACTTCTGTATTTTTCCTTTAGCCAAGACAGTCAACTCCAGCACCCTACATTATGGCCTGGAGTCTCTGACACGAAAGACCTCTTACACTCTTCAGGTCATGGCCAGCACCAGAGCTGGGGGGAAAAAAGGGGACATGATAAATTTCAAGACATTGTCAATCAGTGAGTATTTCTTTCAAGTGCTGTGTAGCTCTTCTTGGCTCTTACCTTAGGTCAGTCAGAAATGACATTATCCAAACGTAGGGAATGCCAAAGGAGAGGGAAGCACTTAAGTGAGAAAAAGCATCCTGCTTTGTGGCTCATTCACCTTCTGGCAAGGTGAATGGGTAGAGGGGAGCAGGCAAACAGAATTGAATTTAGAAAGATTGATCATTTTGCTTTTCCCTGTGGGCAGCCCCAATTCACCTTTAGGAAGAGGGATCAATTTAATTAATATCAACTTCAATCTCAGCACCAAACCAGCTCCCATGACAAGGCTGTCCCCAAGTTCACAGTCACCAGTTTCTGAATGTCAAAGGTTACTACACAATAAGGCTTTTGGGGGAAAACCTTGGTTGATGAAGGATTGCTGACCTATAGAAGGGACTTAAGTCTGGTCATTAATCTGTGGAATTTCTTGAGAAAAAAGTCATATAACATGTTTAACTCACCAGCTTTTACTTTAAAAATAGTGAGCAAGAAGAATATAATAGATGCATACAACAAATAATGTAAGATATAATAGCTTTGAATGATGACTGGTTAAAGCAGATGTTCAAAGGAGAGGAGATGGAATGAGGAGGGAAATGAAGGAGAAAGAAGGAAGGAGGATGGGAGAACCAGGGAAACTTTATTTTTCCAAGTCCTTGAATGGCATAGATTTGATTTTTAAGGACATACTAAAACTGTTTTAAGAATCAAGCAAACTTTTCAATTACAAATGAAGGAATATTGCCAAGTTTTTCAGTTACTAGTACAAGCTAAAAATTGCTTAAAGTCTTGAAAGCTTTTCATTCTTTACATTCTTAAGGAATGAAATAGCTTATGGCTCTGGAAAATAGGAATAAAGCATGTGCCTTTATGTAGAAAACATGTTCTGTATTTGGAGATGATACTGCCTTCTTGAAACTCTTTTTGATGTTGCTGTTTAAATTCCTTTGGAAAATCACATTGTACTTTCACAACAGTAGAAACAAATTGTTTCAGCTTAGGGGATTTTCTATGAGGATCAAATTGAAGGCAAATCCCACTGTGGAGTCTAGAAATTCATGGATTATAGATCTACAGAAATCTATAGATTGTAGATCACCTCACTTCCATTTGTGATTCTTTCCAGTCTATTCTCTTCACAGCAGTCACAACTTTAAGCCCTAGATACTCTGCTTAAAACCTACCAGTAATTGCCCTTGTATTTTAAATAAAATCCTACCCATGCTTTCTGCATTCATCATCTATACCTTATTAACCTCATTTCCTATCACCATCTACCTTTGTGTTCTCTGATGTATTCATGCTTCAAAGCTTTGCATCTGCCTAGAATCCCTTTTCTCTGTAATTCTTCATGGGAGCCTCCTTCTCATTATTAAGATAAGTTTACATTTCTATTTCTTCTTCTTGTCCTCCTCTTCCTATTCCTCTCTTCCTTCTCTCTTCCTCCTTTCCTTCTCCTTTCTTCTCATCCTTGCCCCCTCTTCTTGCCCTGCTCCTTCTCCTCTTTCTCTCCTTTTTTTGGGGGTGGGGGTTGAGACAGGGTCTCCCTACGTAGTCCAGGCTGCCTCAGAGTTGTGGTAATTCTCCTGCCTCAGCCAAGACCTGGAATTTCAGAACAGGGGTTCAAGATCAGCTCAAATTTTACTTCTTCCTTGGGCAGCCTATCTAAAGTTGTTCACCACTTTCCTGCCTTACCCTGGTTACTCTTTTATTGGTCCGTTTTATCCAAAATAATCTTATATTATTTATTGTCAGAATACTGCCAGAACATAAGCTCCATGTGAATAAAGACCTTATATTTCTTGCCTATTGCTATTTATTTTATTATTAAGAATAGTGTTTAGTAACTAAAAAATGCTCAGTAAGTATTCACTGAATGTGTAAAATTGGAAAATGGCCCTGGAAGACACAATGTCTTTCAATATAAAATGCCTATCTTGTTAGATGACAACTAGATGGGGAGCCACAAACCCCAGAGTTTATTTTAATTAAAAGAAATTGAATTTAATTGAAAAAAACTAGTAAGAAATGTTGCTGAAGCTACTAGCAAAAAAGGTGTAATGTTTGATTTTTTTTAAAGAAAGGAGGAAGGGAAAGGAAAAATGATGAGAAATGGGAAAAATGGAAATAAAGTCTTTGTAAATAGGGAAGGGTGGAGGGAGTAAAGGGAGGGCTAGGAATGGGGAAAAAATAAGAACCAAGATGCATCATGTAAAGGTACAATTCCCAATGAGAAATATAAATGTGTTATATACCTAAAATGTACCAATAAAAGAATTTAAGATTAAAAAAAAAGGAAAGGAGGAACTAAACGTATGATGATTTTTGTTTTCCTTTCCCCAAAGGTGTCTTTGAGATTGTCCTTATAACTTGCCTGGTTGGAGGAGGTCTTCTTATGCTCATCATCTTCACGATGGTTTCTGGTTGCAAAAAACCAAGGTAAGTTTATAGTCATCAGTAAGAGGTGCCTTAAAAATCATGGGCAAAGAGGGATGGAGGTCATCATGGACATTTAGCACAAGAAGGCATTCTACCATGAAGAGAGTATTTATTCCTTTATTAATTTGGTACTGATTTATTGAGATTATTAAAGGCCATGTTCTAATGCAAGTCAATAAATGTAAAAATGTTCAGCATCACTGGTCATCCAAGAGATGCAAATTAAAATGACCCTGAGAATTCATCTCACTCCACAAAGAATGACTATTATCAAGAAATCAATCAATAACAGGACAGGGATTTAGCTCAGTGGTTCCACTGCCTGCCTCTCAAGTGCAAGGTCCTGAGTTCGATCCCCAGTACCAAAAAAAAAAAAAAAAAAAAAAAAAGAATGTAATTTATTTAAAAAAAGAAATCAACAAATAACAAATGCTGGTGGAGGTGTGGGGGAAAAGGAACCTTTCCCATTGTTGGTAGGAGTATGAATTGGTACAACCAGTATGGAAATTGGTATGGCAATTCCTTAAAAAACTAAAACTAGAGGTTCCATTTGACCCATCTATTCCCCTTCTTGGTATCTTCCTGAAAGAGTTAAAGGCATATATCACAGCAATATACACACACATGTTAATAGCAGCACAATTTGTAAAAACTATATCTTGGAAATAGCCTAAATGCCCATCAACAGATGAATGAATAAAGAAGACATGGTTATTATATACAATGGAGCACTACTCTGACATAAAGAAGGATAAACTGGAGACATTTCTAGGTAAATAGATGGACCTTTAGACCATATTTTTAAGTGAAATAAATTGGACATGCATATTTAAATATCACATTGTTTCTCTTGTGTAAGAAACTGAAAGGGTAAATGAGGACCAAAATGTATAACAGATATTGGGAAGTAGAAAGCAAATGTTCAAATGGGAAGGGGAACAAGGGAGGGGGTAGGGGGACTGAAAGGAAGGGAAAAGATAAAAAAAAAACAGAAGGAAGAAGATGGAAACAAAGCTTTTATAAATAAGGAGGGGAGGAAGAATTAAAGGGAGGGGAGAGGAAGGGGGGAAAAGAAGAATCAAGATTATACTATGTACAGGTCTAAATTCCCTGTGATAAATGTGATCATTATGTATATCAAAAATGTACCAATAAAATTAAAAAAATAAAGTCCATGTTTTGTGGTTCATCAGAATTCAGACCCACACAGCTCTCTACTTTTTGAGACCAGGCAGCATCAGTTGCCCTGGCTTTATGTGCTGCACTTGTCATCTGAGACTAGAGTTGGAGAGAGGCCCTTTCTTTTAGTGTAGACTCTGAAGGGCCCCTGACAGCAGCAAGAGACAGAATAGGGAGCTGTGTACCCTGGAAGTAGAGTGGCAGTCGTATGAAACCATAAACTGCTCCTTGCTTGTGGTGCAGTGTTGGAGGGCTGGCTGGAGGAGCATTTGTCCTGCCTCTACTGGCCAGTGTAGGGAAGGAAGCTGGCCTTCAAGGTCTTCTGTTTCTCCTAGCAGCAAGTCTCATGCTACGCTAATAGTCCTTCCCTTGTGGAGCTCTCTCACTACATTGGACAGTTGTGGGCCTTCTCTGCCAAGCACCTGCACTTTTTTCTTTTCAAGCTAATGTCAACCTCGTTTACCAACTATAGATTGTGACCAAGTCACCAGAATAAATTTTTGTACATTGTTATGGTTTGGGTCTAGATGTACCCGGCCCCCAAGCCTCATGTGGTCATAGGTGGGGATTTTTCAGTGGTGGTTAGAGTGTGTGATGTTGGGATTGATTCATGGTGCAATGCTAGGATCAAGGGCACTAGGATTAAGGGTGTGAGTTCTACCTGCCCTAAGTAGCCTGGATAAGATATAAGGGATAGAAAGAGCCCTTGTTGCTTTGCTACCTTCTGGCTGCCATGAACTGTTTCTCCTTTGCCATACCACCCTACCTTAGAGCCAGCCAATATGGACTGAAACATCTACAGACTGTGAGCTAAATGAATCTTTCCTTCCTTAATTTTGGGCATCAGGTATTTTGTCTTAGCAATGGGAAAAGTAGCTAAGACAGAATTTGGTACCAGAGAAGTGGGGTCATTGCTGTGACTATACCTAACCATGTGGTTCAGGAACCTTTGCGAATGGCTTGTGGAAAGAGTTTGGAAAGGTTTAGAGATGCTGGCTGAAAAAGTAGAGCTGGAACACCTTAGGTGATGGGAAATTCTGGTCAGAGTTCAGAAGACCAGAAGGCTGATAGAAATTCTGCTGCCAAAGACCAGGCACAGGAGGTTTCTGCTGGGAAGAAGGACTGTATTTACTGTTAGACTCCAGAAGATGTGTGGTATGCCTTGGCAAAAAGTTTGTCTGCATTTTTCTCATGTCCAGAAACTGCCTGAGACTAAGATTAAGAGCAGACTGAGATTAAGGGTGGTGGGCTAATTCATCTGGCAGAAGAAATTTCAAGACAGTCTAATATTGAGGTGGTGGCATGGCTATCATTGGGGGCTTTTAGCCAGATTTATGTTGAAAATCAAGAGCAAAGAGCCCAGCAGAATGATTTAAAACATTTTGAGTTTGGCCAGAAAGGAAGCTCCAGTAAAGCTGCAGTCTGCAAAGATGGAACAGAGAAGAAATTGGCTGCTGAAAAGATCTGCAAAAAAAGCCAAGTATTTCAGAAGAAGACAACAGAAAAGATGGCCTGAGGACATCACAAGAACCAACAGGACTCCAGCCTCTGCAGCCTTAGAGTTGCAAAAGTGACAGACTTTGCTTTGAGAAGAGAGCCCCAGAGTACCATGTTCCAGAACGGAGGTGGCCTAGGGAAGTTGTTCCTACAGTAAAGAGAGAAGGAATCCTGGCTACTGCTTCAGCTGGTGGCAGACCTTGGCATCAGCCATGTGGTTCTGGTTTTAGGCAGATGCAGAATACAAGAGTTGTGGAGTCAGGAAGGTTTCCACCCAGATTTCAGAAGAAGGCCTGGAAAGCCAGACAGTGTGCCCCTGAGAGGGGATTGTGTGAAGCTGTGAGTGTGAAGCTGAAGGTACAGTGAACTCAGAAGTTTGGAGAAGCCAGGAACATGGATCGTCTGAGAAAAAATGCAAGGAGGGAGCAGAGTCAGCCCTAGAGAGAAGCCACGGGAGCTACAACCACCATCAGTGCCATAGGAGTGGAGCCACCCAAGCCCTTTGGAGTTTACACCTTGCCACAGATTGCCTCAGATGCTGGACGTGGAACTGCAGGACTTAATGTTTGCCCTGCTGGAGTTTGGACTTGCTTTGCTCCCATTCCTTTGTATCACCCTATTTGTACCTTTTAGAATGGTAGTGTTTATCTTGTGCCATTGCATGTTGGAAGTGTTTGACATTCTTTTCATTTGTACAGGGACTCACAGATAAGAGTTTGCCTTAAATCTTAGAGGAGACTTGGGACGTTTCAGCAATACTGAAACTTAAGATTTTGGCAACTCTTAGAGATGGACTAAATGCCTTTTGTGTAAAGGAATGTAAATGAGTCTTTGGGGTCCAGGGCAGAATGTTATGATTTGGGTCTAGATGTCCCCTACAAAGCCTCATACAGTCATAGGCAGGGGCTTTTTCAGAGGGCCTGAATCTAGAGTGTGTGATGCTGAGATTAAGGGTGAGTGATTACTAAATCAGTACACTGATTGGTTTGTCACTGCCCTGGACCCAGTAGCCTGGATACAATATAAGGGACAGAAAGGCTTGTCTTCTTCCTTGCTTGCTTGCTTTGGTGTCTTCTGCTTGCTATGAACTGGTTCTCCTCTTCAGTGCCCCTCTGCCAAGCCACCCTGTCTTGGAACCAGCCAATTATGGACTGAAACCTCTGCAAACTGTGGGCTAAAAAAACCTTTGCTCCCTTATCTTGTGAGTGTTGGGTATTTGGTATCAGCAATGAGAAAAGTATCTAAAACATACATTATGCACTTGAGTAATCATTCTTAATCTTTAGGATGCAGCAGAATCAGGCCCTAACCTAAGGGTTTCTGATTCAGTGTTCTGGGGTGACACCCTAGAATTTGCATTTCTATAAAGCTCTCATTGATGCTAGTGCTGCAGATTGGGAACCAAGGGATGGGTAGTTTGTAGGGCTAAGTGTTCCCTCTCCCATAGGCTAAATCTCAAAGGAGTGGCACTGTGAGTGATAGTGTAGTGTCCAGCATCAGGACCAGGTGTGGAGATGTAGGGGTGGAGAAAGAAAGTAGGAACAGCTTCGCATGGAGAGGGCTTTCCTGCCATCACATCCCTTAGATAACTCTCAACTTCACCCCTAAACTACTTCACTTTTCCTATGTCTATCAGGAGACAGGGAGCTTGCCCTTATTTTACAGAGATCCATATAATTCCCTTTAGCAGACCTCACTGATTTGGTTTAGCCACTCAGTACATGTCAAATGCTTCCCAGACTCACCTCCTGTCTTAAAATTTTATCTCTTATTAGCAAGTTGACTCAACTATGTTGGCCTGATGTCCCCAACCCTGCTGAAAGTAGTATAGCCACATGGCTTGGAGCTGATTTCAAGGTAAACACTGCTGTTTTTATTGAGGAGATCATTATGTTGACTGGTTATGGGAGGTGGACGATGTAGATGGAAATGAAGAAGAGTTGAGGACTTAGCTTTTCTCAAGATTTGCATTTAAAAAAAGCCTCAAGATTGAAAAGTCCCAGGGAACAACTGGCAGGACAGATGGAATCAGCCTTTTTGGAGTGATTTTGACCTCATGCTTTGGACAACAGGGAAGAGCTTCACCAGGCTCAGGAGAACTTGAGTGTTCCCAGCCTGGAACTGGTTCTATAAAGGATGCTGTGGAAGGGAGACGCCAGCCCTACCTTTATTAACCTGACCATCTGTCAGAGAGCAAGAAGGCCTGGCTGTAAGATCTGAGACCATTTAAAAAGCAGCAAGAGCAAATTAATTTAGAGAACACCTAGGACCCTAAGGTGTTGCTGATGGGCAGGCAGTGGAAAGGCTGCCTTGAATTGTTTTCTAATCAAGGAAGTTGGGGTCAAACCTCATGTACTTGGCACTGGGGTTTTCTGGTGTGTTATCTTTAAATAGAAACTCTTTTTCATAAGTTTTTATGGAAACTGTTGTGGAATTTCTAAGGTGTAATTTCTTGCTTAAGTATAAATAAGCCCAGTCAAATATTGTATAACTTTTAAATTCTTGTTATTGAAAGATTATTTCCAGTATTTTTAATATGAGAATTTTAAATATTAGTCCTTATTTCAGTGCAGAAGTCCTTTTTTTTTAAAAAAAAAAAAAAAAGAAAGGGCATTTTTGCTACAATGGACTTTATTTCCTTCTCTCCCTCATCAGTTTTGTATTACCTTCTTCACTTTCTTACTTAGTAAAAGCTATTTAGAGAGTAAATGAATTCATGGGTGATATTATCTCATGAATAAAATGCTTTTGAATAACTTGTAGGCCAGGCTTCTACAAGAAGCACTGAATACTCACCCACTATACATCAGGCACTGAGCTAGGCCTGAGGATGCAAAGATGCCAGACACTGCCTCTGTCATGGGATCAGCTTTGACTCCCGGAGGTATTGGGTAGTTTTGCCATTATGGTTGTAGTCTCTCTCTCTCTTTCTTTTTTGGTGGTGTTGTTATTGTTGTTGTGTTTTTGTTTTGAGACAGAGTCTTGCTACATGGTTTAGTCTGGTCCTGAAGTGACTGTATTCCAGGCTGGCCTTAAACTCAAGGTGACCCTCCTGCCTCTACCTCTTGGGCTCTGGGATTCAAGGCCAGCCTGAACTACGTAGCAAGACTCTATCTAAAAAAAAATAAATAAAACCCCCAAATCTAAAAATAAATGACCATTGGGCTGTCCTATTTTTTTCCTAGAATAAAGTAAATCTGAAGGAGTTTGATGACTCTGTGAACACAGAAGACAGGATCCTAAAATTGTGTTCTGCTCCTACTGACCTCATTGACAAATTGGTGGTGAACTTTGGGAATTTTCTGGAAGAGGCTTCCATAGAGGTAGCTGGAAAAAGTCAGGAAAACATTTTGGGAGTAGAAAAGAATGAATATGTGACTGCTCCCTATGGATCTGACTGTCCCCAAGGGAAGAGTTTTGAGGAGCCCCTGGCTTTAACTGAGAATCCTCTCAGAAAATCTCAACACCTATATTCGGGAATGGCAGAAGAGATCTGCTCAGGAGCCAAAGAAGAACTTCCCTCTTCTGGTCAAAGTATAGGACCAGGCCATATCTGTGGAGACAGAGCACAAAATCCATATTTGAAAAATTCAGTGACAACCAGAGAGTTTCTTATGCTTGAAAAACTTCCAGATCATACCAAGAGAGAAGTCTAAATGCCTCCACGGTGTAGACCCCGGGAATTTCAATTGGATGACTCTTAACTGGAAAAAATACCATGATTTAGCAAGAGGTGCTTCTTCATCTCCTTCCCCATTCGGGCTGAGTTAAAGAGCATCTCCCTTGCCCTGAGCTGCTTGTTGAGCCTGGCTTTCAAAAACGCAAACATGTGCTGGAAAGAAGGGACACTAGAAGTCTGAGTGATTTGGAGGGGAAAAGCCATTTCTTTTCTTTTGTTCAGATAATAAGCTCTTGCTGAGGTTTCCTAACACACTGACTTTGAAGAAAGGATCTAGGTTCTGAACTCAAAGTACCCTGACATACCTGGTCTTCCTCAGGAATGGAGTGATGGTCGCAGCCTTTGCTGGGGACACCCTCAGAGTTCCAGGAGGAACTGTGCCCCCAGGAACGCTTACTGACAGTTCTTTGGTTGGCACTTGGCCATCTGGTGAGAACCTCGGCTTTGCCCCTTCCTCCCAAGTAACCCTGAAATCTTACTCTTGTCAATAGAGGTGGCAGGAAGTACAGTTGTCTTTCCCAAAGGTATACCTGAGGCTCCTCATTGTCTTTGCTAAATCTCAAGCATCTGCAACACCCCACCAAGGACTCTAGGTTTTGTTTTGTTGTTTTTTTTGTCAGTGCTACAGATTGAACCAGGGCATCATGCATTTAGGTAGGTGGTCTACCATTGAGCTACACTTCCAGCCCTTTACCCCTGGTTTGTAGTGCATTAACTGCTAAAAACCAAGGAATGAGAGAAGGTTTCAGTACACTGGGAGTGGACTCCCAGGCTGGGCAGCAGGTCTGTCCCATCTGCAGGTCATTTCCCAGCTCTTGCTGCCCTTGTGCTGGGAGTAGAAAGGCACCAGACCTGGAAGTCTGGTGTATGGCCACTAACCCTTCACACTGGCTCGGAGCCCAGGAATGCTTACTGAATACACCTTTAAAAGGCCTCTTCTCAGCAGGAGCTGAGCAGGGACAAGGAATGGGTTATGATTAACAACTCTGCTGCTTTATTGCAAGGACTTCTGCTTTTTTGCTCCAGTAATAGTGAACCTTTGGGAAAAGTGCTGATCACAGGATCATTTGCTGAGATCCTGGGAGCTGTATGGCTGTCACTCAGCTCCCACCATGACCCCAGTGTGGGAGGAGCCTGGTGACATCAAGTTGGATGAAGTAATGAGTGAAGGGCCCTAGATGCTATAAACCAAGCATTTCCAGCCAAAAAAGCTGGTTGAATTTTTTTTCTAGGAGAATTTAAGAAGTTAGTACTTAGAAGGTTGCACACACCTGAACTTCATGGCCACAAAATCAGGTGTGCAAAAATATCACTTTACCTTCTTATAACTGAATTTATAATTTATAGCTAAAATTAATTATTTCAAAATAATGGCCACCCAGCTTGGTGATTTCTGAGTTCTTTGACTTTGTAATTCAGTCACAGTTGGGACTAGTTTTCCTTGAGATAAATTCTGAGGGTGTTCAATGGAGCACCACCCACGGGCCAGGGCTGGCCACTTAGTAGTGTCCTCTGGGATCCTGTATTTGTCCAGCCATGGTTTTGTTGGTGGTCTTGTGTATGTGCCTATAGCCCCACCTGTCTCTATTTGGACACTTCCCACTCTCCTTGGCTGTGTTCTTACTGGGGGCACAGGAAAGTGTGACTGTTCTCCCAAAGCTCTCTCCCACCTCATCAGGTCTCAAGAGACTGTAGTCCCCTCCCAGGACTCATCACCCTGGTTTACAGAACAGTGACTGCTGATAGATCAGGACATGAGGGAGGCCCAAGGCAGGACATTGGGGAATAGGACCCTGGGGACTCTGGGTCACCCTTCTATCCCTTTGTTCTGCTCCTAGTTCAGGAGTAGAAAGAGCCCCTCCCCTGCAAAGTGATACTACAGATCCCATGGCTGCCCTGCTATCTGCTCTCAGCCCTACTGCTGTGGCTCGGGCACTTCTGGGCTGCTTCTGCCCAGGGTTCCCCCGGTGCCCTTGTCCACACTTCACTTTGGATTTGTGAACTTGCGGAGAAGATTCTATCCTTTCCTCCTGTCTTGGTCTGGAGTGGGGAGGGAAGGAGAGGTTACTCCCTGCCATCACTACCCGCCCCCCCCGACCTTGACCTTCTGTCCAACTGTAGCTGAGGGAATCTTCTCAAATTCTGTGGGAGGTGGATGGAGAGGGAAGAGCCTCAAATGAGTCTTGCCACTTGTTTTCTTTTTTTTTTAGTCTTTCCACTTGTATCTGTCTCACACTGGATGAAGCTAAAATCAAAGTATCTGGTGCCTGCGTGTAGAGTAGGGTTCCAAATGGCTCCTGTAAGTGGGTTTCAGAGATGCCAGTGTTATGCTTCTGGCTCCCTTCCTGGCTACCTTCTACAAAGTCATCAAAGCTGGCTTAGTCATCTGTTGGGCACTTTGCAGATGCAACTTGGCCCTTCTCTCTTTCTTCTTCCCTATTCTCACTTCTTGCCTCTTGTCTTCTGCTGCTTTTCCTGCCACTCCCAGGATTTCTCAGCTTTTCAAATCTTCCTATTCTCCCTTTTCTCTCCTCTCCCACTTCCCATCTGTTCACCATTGGCCCTATTTGTTTTTGCTGCTTTTGAGTGGTAGGGATGTTGTAGGCCTCTACTTCATCTCAGGTAGGCCCCGAGGTGGTCTCTTAGGAGCCAGTCTGAGGACAGTTTTCCCATTCTAGGGCCACATGCTGAGCTATTGAGGGGTGAAGGCCTCCATGCTGGGAAGCCACTGGTGATTTTCTCTTCTGGACCAACTCACTGGGTGTTCCCACTCTCAGTGTCCTGGAATGACTCTGTGGCCAGAGAAGACCATCTGTGTGTTCTGTTTTCTGTCAAAGAGACCTAATGAGGACACAAATATGACTTGTATTTTAGCAAACATTAAAAAAACAGACAAAATTTCCATTAGAGTTTTCTAGGGCTCTGGGAACCATGTCAATAGCTATGTTAGTGGCCTTTCTTTCATGATAACAGAAAAACTTGAAAGAATGACCTAGGAAACAATCTGTGTTAAAAAAAAAAAAAAAAAGCAAAGCTGCTTTCTGGAGGTAGCAGTGTAAGCACACCGCGTGGGGGTTTTGGAAGAGGCTACAGATGGACATGTGAGAAAGGAAAAGCTCCTAGCATGGATTCCTCCACTTTCCCTGTTGTTCCTCAAGGTCCAGCCACCAAAGTCTCACCTGTCTTCTTCCCCAGGAATGCCCTTAGTTACTGCTGCTGTGAGCACTGTGTTGCCCAGGGTCTCACACTGCAGCCCTCCAGCCAAATCCTGCCCCTGTGTTTGTAGGGCTATGAGCTAACAATGATACAAATGTTTTTTAAATGGTTGGAAACAAAATAAAAAAATATCTTGTGACGTGAAGGCACATGAAATTCAAATTTTAGTGTCCACAAATCAAGCTTCATTGGAACCAAGCCACACTCATTATTCAACACATCAACAATGGCTGCTTCCCCCAACAAAGGCAGAATTGAGTAGTTGCAATAGAGACTGTTGCTCCCACAGAGGCCCCTTGCAGAAAGTTTGTGGACACCTACAGTATGTCATACATGTGAGGCTCAGACTGCTTTATGTTTTAACTTTTAATTAGCTCCTAGTTAAAAACAAATCAAGATATGCCATTTCTGGATCTCCAGCTAAATAAGGATGCTGCTCTTAGAAGGGCACAGATTCTCTGGCTTGCCCCAGTCCTCATCACTTCCTGCTCCCTGCCCATAGCTGAGGTGGCAAGTAGGCCCCTGTTTATCACTTCCACCAGTGGTTCTCAACTAAGGTGACTTTGTCCTTCAATCTCCAACTCACACTTATGGCGATACCTGGACATATTTTGATTCCTGCAAGTAGGAGGGCAGGCGCTACTGGCATCTAGTGGTTAGAAGCCAGCAGTGCTGATGACTCTTCCTACAGTGTGCAGACTAGCTCTCACCAGTAAGAATGATCCTGAAATAGGCCTACAATGTCAGCGGTGCCACAGTTGTTGACTAATTTCTGCCTTCAACGCCCACTGCATTCACATTCCATAGATAAATCTAGTTCTTTCCTTAAATGCCAATTATTAATATCATTCTGCATTCATGGTGTAATCTACTTGTGCTGATACATATCTTCACCTACTTGCAAGTCATGTATTGAATCTGTTGTGTTTCTCCCTTATTTTCACATTCTATTTCACATCTAAAATTCATGCATGAACATAGTGCAGAACATTTTGAATAGTCACATGACTGTTCTGTGCTTGCATGTTGTGGTTTGCTTAGACTGCCTGAGTTTATACAATTGTTACAAACATCTTGCTAATATAGAGAGTAATTGTAATATACATTTTTATATAAAATTTTCTTTTCCCACTTTTGACCTGTCTCCATGGGGCTGTTTCCAAAAGTGAATTGTAGGTCGTGATTTTATGGTTATTGTCACTTCTTACATAACTGCACCCCAGCAAAGGCTACCCTGATTTTACAGGATCATCAGAGATATCAGGAATCTTCTGTTCTTTTCTGCTGATAAGCAGCTGTTCACTGCTGCAGTTGATTTTGCCCTATTTTTTAAATGTAAATGTTAATTATTGACAAGGCCTATCTGTAATCAGAGTGTGAGGCGATGCTGGTGTCTTGCCTTCTTGTTGTGGGGTCCAGAAGGGTGGAGGATGACAAAAAATATCAGTAGTCCTCTTTCCCTCTCACATGTGACTAGACACTGCAGCCAGAGGGAGAGTTTGCTCAGGTGTGCAGACAGCCCAGACGTGCTGGGAGAGCCCAGAGGCCACACTTGCCATCTGGACTAGCTCCCTGCAGAGCAGTTCCAGGCAGATGCTGCCCTGTGCTGATGAGGAGCACGTGGGAAGCAGCAAGGGGAAGGATGAAGGAGAGGGCAAACTCTGCAGTCAGCAGGCTCCTGCAGTTGCTCAAGGGAAGTCAGATGCCTGTGCTACAGATTTCCTTTTTAGGAATGGAATTCTCTCTTCCTGCTCAACTTCAACATATGTGTGGGACAAAATGCCAGAAGGATTTCCTGAGGCCTAGACTTTAAAATGAAAATGTGCAAGCCAGAAGGGGTGTGCAGAGTATTCTGAGTGATCATAGCAACAAAGAAGACTGAACCTGAGTCCCAGTCACCTGTTGGTATAATACCTGGTGCATGTACATGGAAAGGGTGTGATATTGAGGATGAAACCAAGGTCATTATGATGCGAATAGCCTTTAGAATGCTTTATTGTAAATGCATTTCTATTTAACCTTTAGATAATAAAGCTATAATACCATTTTGATGCAATGCTATACTTCTCTTTTAAAATTTTACCTACTCAAACGTTTAAAATGTCAGTATGTCAGATCAAGGGAGTCTGGTGGTTATGCAAAGAGCCACAGGTGACCAGAACTCACCAGGTCATGACCACCTCTCCAACACCTGAGCTCTCTTCTTCCTGTTCCTTGGGTTCCCTCCAGGACTCACCTCACTGCCTTGAGCAGGTGATGTTTCCACCTCACCAAATTTGTGCTACTGGCTCATCTTTCTTGTTCTTTCAGGCCACATTCCTGAAGAGGTCTCGGGGTGGCAGGTGGCCCTGTTCCTTCCTTGTGCCCCACCCCTTACCTGCCAATTCAACTTCTTCTTGTCTTCGATGACTTCCCCTCAGCTTCTAAACATACTCACTTGGAAAGAGAAGAAAGAACTCCCTGGCTGTCCATCTCCCTCTGGCCACCTGTCAACCCTCTCTGGACGAGGCTGTGGTTTATGAATAGAGTGGTACCCATCCTGGGTAGCAGCTTCTTCAGGTGGCTGAACATTACCCTGCTCCTTTTTTGGTAGAAAATCCCATTGCTTGTGGGAATTTAGCTCAGTGGTTCCTCCACCTGCCCTGAAAGCACAAGGACCCAAGTTCGATCCCTGGTACCAAAAAAAAAAA